ACCAGATATACAGTTGTCACAGCAACTGGAACTGGTCCAACGAATCATTGTCTTCAACGAGTCACTGGTTTCATCTTCCCTTCCCTTTACTTACTGTTACTCCTTGTGAAGTCATTGTATGTTTGCACTATCTTTTGTCTTCACTGAGTGACTGCGTGTTCTGTCTGGCTTCATAATATCTTCCTACCTGATCCTTACTACATTGCTGCTATTAGTCATTGTGCTTTCACTCTATTGAATACTTGACTATGGCTTGCCTAGTGTAGTCTACCTTCCGCTGCAGGGTATTAGGTTTATTTCTATCGTTTGTCTTCATAACTCCCATGTTTTGAAGACTTTCATTAAAATCGCCTATTCACCCCCCTCTAGTCGATATAACGCACTTTCATTAACCACAGTTGAAACTTTAGCATGTTCCTTTATTCTATCAGGAAAAGGAAGTTTCTCGAAATAAGCAGTAGGAACAACTGGATCAACATTATAAAGTATAGTTTCTTCTTTAACCGATACCGGTTCTTTAATTTCTTATTTAATAGGTGGTTGATACCTGATCCACTTCTCTTTAGGGAGTTCAACATGAGTAGCAAAAGATTCACAAAAGGAGGCTACTATCTCAGAGTCAAGTCCATATTTAGTGCTAAACTTTTGAAAAGCATCGGTATCCATAAGAGATTTAACACAATCATACTTAAGCTTTATACCCGACTCTTTACCTTCACCGAGTTCTCAATATTCAGAGTTGCGTTTAATTCTTACCATAAGATCCCACCGGAATTCAATAGTCTTCTTCATAAAAGAACCAGCACAAGAAGTATCCAGCATGGTTTGATCATTACGAGAAAGCCAAGCATAAAAATTCTGAATAATAATTTCTCTTGAGAGCTCATGATTGGGGCATGAATATAACATTGAATTAAGCTTCCCCCAAGCTAGGGCGATACTTTCTCCTTCACGATGCCAAAAATTATATATATAATTCTGATCACGATGAACTAGATGCATAGGATAATTTTTTTTTGGTGAAACTCCAATTTCAAACGATTCCAATTCCATGATTCAATATCATCGCATAGACTATACCATGCCGATGATTTTCCCTTCAAAGATAAAGGGAAAACTTTTTTCATAACTTCATCCCTGGGTAAACCTGCAAGTTTAAACAATTCACAAATTTGTTCCACATGTATCAAGTGCATATCAGGATATTCCGTTCCATCTCCTGCATAAGGATTAGCTAGCAGTTGTTCTATCATACCCGAAGGAATTTCATATTCAATATTTTCAGTAGGTGATGTAGGTTGAGGGACAATTAATTGTGGTTTGGTTCGAGGTGAAGATACCCTGAACATACCCCTCAAAGGATTGTTTTCCATAATAACAAGTAACAATAAATTTCAGCACACTATATAAATGTTTCCTTACCGAATTCCACTTACCAAAGGCGCTTCACTCCCCGGCAACAGCGCCAGAAAATAGCTTTGATGACCCACAAGTATAGGAGGTCAATTGTAGCTCTTTTTGATAAGTAAGAGTGTCGAACCCAACAAGAAGCAGAAGGAAATGACAAGTAGTTTTCAGTAAGGTATTGTCTGCAAATGTTGAAATTATAAGTAGTGAGTAGTTTGGTAGCAAGATAATTTGTAGCGAGCAAGTAACAATAATTGTAACAAGTATGCAGCAAGGTAGCCCAATCCTTTTGAGGCAAAGGACATGCCAAAACGGTCTCTTATGATAAGCAAAGCATTCTTGAGGGTACACGGGAATTTCATCTAGTCACTTTCATCATATTGGTTTGATTTGTGTTTGCTACTTTGATAATTTGATATGTGGGTGGACCGGTGCTTAGGTGCTGTTCTTATTTGAACAAACCTCCTTCTTATGATTAACCCTCCCTCAAGCATCCGCAACTATGAGAAAAGTATTAAGAACAAATTCTAACCATAACATTAAACTCTAGGATCCAATCGGCCCCTTACGGAATAGTGCATAATCTGGGGTTTAAGTTTCTGCCACTCTCGCAACCCACAATCTATTTACTCCTCCAAAATACATTCCCTTAGGCCCAAATATAGTGAAGTGTCATGTAGTCGATGTTCACATGACACCACTAAGGGAATCACAACATACATATTATCAAAATATCAAACACATACCAAATTCACATGATTACTTGCAACATGATTTATCCCGTGACCTCAAGAACAAAAGTAACTACTCACAATCAACAAACATGCTCATGATCAGAGGGGTATTAATATGCATAATGGATTTTAACATATAATCTTCCACCAAATAAACCATAGAGTAATCAACTACAAGATGTAATCAACACTACTAGTCACCCCATAGAAACAATCTATAGTTCCGGTAACAAGATTGAATATAAGAGATGAACTAGGTTTTGAGATGAGATGGTGCTGGTGAAGATGTTGATGGAGATTACCCTCCCCAAGATGGAGAGTTGTTGGTGATGACGATGACGATGATTTCCCCCTCCGGGAGGGAAGTTCCCCCGGCGGAATCGCTCCGCCGGAGGGAAAAAGTGCTCCTGCCCAAGTTCCGCCTCGAGGCGGCGGCGTTCTATCCCGAAAGTATTATTGTTATTTTTTCTTGGTCAAAACCACTTGTATATACCAGAAGATGGGCACCAAAGGTGGGCCTAGGAGGGCACAATACACCAGGGTGCGCCGGGGGGCCTGGCGCGCCCAGGTGGGTTCTGCCCACCTGGTGGCCCCCCTCCGGTACTTATTGCCCGCAATATTTCTTATATATTCCATAAAAAATCTTCGTGAAGTTTCAGCCCATTTGGAGTTGTGCAGAATAGGTGGCCTGACGTAGGTTTTTTAGGTCCAGATTTCCAGCTGCTGAAATTCTCCCTCTTGTTGTGTTCCTTGCAAATTATGAGAGAAGAAGGCATTAGACTTACTCCAAAAAATATTATTATGGATAAAACATTGTAAATAACAGTAAGAAAACATGATGCAAAATGGACGTATCGTGGTGGCCCAGTCGCAGCCCGAGGGGAGGGGAGGGGATGCGCGCGCGTAAGGCTAGAGGCGCATAAGGAAGGAGGCGGGGCGGGTGGGGCCACTGCGTATTGCGCGTTTTGCCAGCGTGGCGTGCGAGCCGGCCGGAAGTTAAGGCGGCGCACCGCGCCCAAACGTTTACCTTCATTTACGCACATATATTCATCCCTACGGACACATACGCCGACCCTACCCCTATGAGCACCTCCGAGAGACTCACGCGGCATATCATCTTGAGATTGACAGGCGCCTCGTAGTCGATGAGAACGTCTCCTTCCACTAAAAGCATGTCACCGAAAATCCTGAAATAAATTCAGAAAAATACAAGCACCAGAACTTGAACCTTGATGGGCTGGGGATACCACTGTCCTCTTAACCATCCAACTACTGATTAGTTCGCTCATTTTGTGCTGTTTGTAATGGTTTTTTTACAGTTTTTTTGGTTTAATGTTTTCTTTGTTTCTTAACCGGTTTTTCTTCAGTTTTCTTCGGTTAACGATTTATTTATCTTTGATTTTGTTCAGGGTTTTCTCATTCCTTCACTGGTTTTTCTTTGACTTATCTTTTTCTTTTTTCTTCACTGGTTTTCCGCGGCATTGCTTCAGTTTTTCAGATTTTTTCCTCAAGGTTTCTTTTTTGTTTTGGTGTTTTTTCATCGGTTTCTTAGCGTTTTTTCTTTGTTTTCAGCACATATCTATTTTTCATTACACAATGTAAATTTTTAGTGTATATGTGGAACATTTTTTCATACATGTCTAACATTTTTCAAATGTACGGTGTAGATCTTTTAAATATACATTTTGAACACTTTTTGAAATACACGCTGGTTTATTCCCGTTTTCTTCAACGCATGTCTATATTTTTTAATAAACATCTTTTAAAAAACATGTTTAATATTTTTAAATACATTAATAATATTTTCTTAAACACATGTTTTAATGTCTATTTTTCTAACGCATGTATACATCTTTTCTTACATATCATACATTTTTGTATGCATGTGAAACTCTTTTTTATGTATATTTAACATGTTTCCAAATATGAATCATTTTTTTTGAAATGATATCGTTGGAAACTTTTTTATGGCTGTTGTGCATTTTATATTTTGTTACTCAAATGAATGGTCAAATTTTAACCCAAAATATGGGGGACATATTAGGCTGGTCATAGTGGGAGTAACATAGGTAGTAACATAGATGCCACATAAGCAAAATTGGTGATGTGGCAAGTAGTTAATGAGGAGAGAGTCAAATAGAGTAACATAATATGTTACCATCACATAGCGGTTTCCAATGCATAATGAGTCTACAAAGTAATAAATGAAGGCAACTATGTTACCACACCTATGACACTACCCACTATGAAGGTAGTAACATAGACTAGTAACATATGTATGTTACTAGTCTAAGTTACTCTCCACTATGACCAGCCTTAGTTCGGAAGGAGATAGTGGTATAAAAAATACGAATGGCCCTAATGAGGGAGACACGACAACATTTATATGCACTGATTAGTGATCGATGGATAGATGGATCATTAATTTTGTCAACATTCAAACTGAGTATATTTCAAATGGTTAGGTTTCTTGTGATGGAACCAATCCATCAGGATTCAAATTCTAGACTTGTCACACATGGTCGCATTTTCTTGGATTTATTCTAAGCCTTCCGACGATGTGCTTCAGTGGGTGGATACGTTCTTGTCGGCTATAAAGTCGTTTGTGAATACCCCCGATAGCGGCAGGATGTGCGTGTTCATATGGTTGAATGTCTGTGTGTATATGTGAGTATATGCGTGTGTACTATGTTTAAAAAAATTATAACTACATGTGCATCGTCAAATAAAAGCCAGAGCTGCAAATGCATACTGAAAATCATTGCAACAACCAGGAAATATCTAGTATAATCAATCAACGCGCTTAGCGCTGAAAATACGCTGCTCATATGTTCGCATATCTGCCGGGAATAAATAAGCTCAGTCCTCGGTAGCACTAAGGTACGCAGTTTCAGTTGATTCATGCAAATAAGCAGAGTCCTCGGCGGGTAGATCACCATAAGCCTGTCCCTCCAAGAAGTGAATCTCCCCAGAACCACGCACCGCTTCAAGCACCGGCAACCTGGCGTCCTCAGATCGTAGCACATCGACAGCCTGCGTCACCGACGGCCGCCGCACCGGATCGTGGTGCATGCACCAAAGCCCTGTCACGAGCAGACGCTCCATCTGCAGCCCGTCGAAGTCGCCGTCGAGCCTCCTGTCTGCCGCGTCAAGGATCTGGTTCCGGCAGTACATCTCCCGGACAGACGCCAGCAGCGCCGCCGAGGCATGGCCTGGCCCCCTCGACGCCGGCCGCCTGCCGCAGGCGATCTCGAGGAGCACGACGCCGAAGCTGTACACGTCGGACTCGGCGCTCGGCCTGCGGTCGTTGACGAACTCCGGGTCAATGTACCCGACGGTGCCTGCCACGACCTGCGTCGTCTGCGGCTCTGCGCCGTGGTCGACGAGCCTCGCCAGCCCGAAGTCGCCGAGCTTGACGTTGCGCGACGCGTCGAGCATCATGTTTGCAGGCTTGTTGTCCCCGTGCACGACGCACTGCTCGCACTCCGTGTGGAGGTACCGCAGCGCGGAGCCCAGCCCCAGCGCGATCTTGTACCTGCAGCGTGGACATCGATCAACCTTCTTAACTTTTCAGGTGAGACTAAGGTGGTGTTTGGTTCTCTAGTCCTATGATTTTTTTTAATCTCAACTAAAAAGTCCCTAGTTTCTAAAAAGTCTCACCTTGTTTGTTTTCAGAAACTAAAAAGTCCCTAGTCCCTTCCTAGAGGCTATTAAATGACCATGTTGCCTCTAATATATAGAAAAATAACAATTAAACGATGGCGGGCCAATGGATGCATGGAGGGGCATTGATGAAAAAGTCCCAAAAAGTCTTAAAAAGTTTCTCCTATTTGATAAAAAAGTCTCTATAAGGAATTTTTTTTAATCCCTACATAAAAAAGTTCCTGAAAACAAACACCCCCTAAAGCCAAGTGACTCTTCGTTGCAAAAGAAAAGAATTATTTACCTCTCAGACTAAGTTATCGTCCGGTCAGGATTGTAGAGGTGCGTGTCGAGGCTGCCTCCGGGCATGAGCTCGTAGGCAAGCGCCAGTTCTCTCCGGCGACCACACCAGCCGACGAGGTGGACGATGTTGCGGTGCCTCAGCTGGCTCATTACGGTGACCTCTGCCTGAAACTCCTTCAGACCCTGCACAGATTGATCCTCTGAGAGCATCTTGATGGCCACATGACGGTTTTGGCCAGTCAAGTAGCCTCTGTACACCGGGCCGAATCCCCCTCTCCCAATCTTCCTCTCCTCTGCGAAGTTGTCCGTCGCAGCGGCGAGCTCGCTGTACCTGAACTCCCTAGGTCCCAATGCTCGCCTTAGCTCAGGTTCTCTTATCACGTGCTCGACGTCTTCCAGTTGGTTAGACCTAGCAGTGCTCTGCCGCGGCCTCTTGCTACGCATGCAGCAGAGCAGCACGGTTGCCACGGCGCAGATCAACCCTATCAAGGCCGAAGCCGCAACAGCTGCTTGCTCCAACCACGACGATACGGCCTTGCCGCGGGCTGCAACGTGCAGTTTCCTTGTCGCTCTCCGGCCATATGTACCGGACAACAATCTTCGCGCCCTAGGTTCGTAGGGGAGCCTGCGATAATGGTGTCGACTGGGTACTCTTCCACTTCGTCGTGTGGTACTTGTGATACCATCTACATCTAATAAGTAAAAGGAAGCTCCTCGTGTGATTCTGCAACCTGTGAGGTTGTGAAATCCCACACCTCCCAATGAACCAGCAGAGAAAGCAAATGATTTTTGTTGTTCTTGTAAGAACACAAAAAAGACAGGATCGCATAATTCGGTGGTGTTAATCCCAAGGAACTTATCACGGTGGTGATAGGATCCGCTGCAATTGAAGGATAATTCAGCAGCGTGAGGAGCAAGGTAGGAAACACGGGGCAGAAAAGCAGACGGTAGGTTCTTGCTCGGCGAAAAACTCGTCCCCGTGCCCTCCGTAGATCTCATGCCGATGGCGATGAGCTTGCTACTGCGATCCTCAGTCTCCGGGCTGAAGCAGGCAAGGCGCTGGCCCGTGTACCAGTACCAGTCTGTGGTGGAATTCTGGGACAGGAGGAAGCCGAGGTACTGCCCGTGGCCATGGGGCATCGTCGGAGTGAAAGAGAAGGGCGTCGCATCGCCGGTACATGACGAGCTGTGGCTGTGCAGGCCCGCAATAATTTGAAAGGAGAAACTGGTGGCGAAGCTTACCATTTTGCCCGTGGGGCTTTCCCATGGCTGCACTCTTTTCGCGTACGACCCCCGGGCGGTGCTGTGCGCTCTGCTTCTGCCAGGTCTCGCACTCGCAGTCGCAGTGATGGATGCATGCTCGGGGAAGATGAGGATTGCAGTGGGGTGCGAGAAGTCGAAGGGCAGCGAGACAGCGGAATTGGCATAGATTGAGGAAGTGGAACAGAAGTAGAAGCAGAAGAACAGGAACAGGGAAGGGAGACCGGAGCTCCTCGCTCTGGCCATCATCGTTTGTGTTTGTGTGAGATCTAAAATGAGAGTTGAGACTAGTGGATTTATAGAGCCGGCCGGGCGGATTTTTCGAGCATACGACAGCCGGCGGAGTGCTAACCACCTGGTCCTCGGTCAACTTGTTAGAGCATCTTCAACAGAAGCTCAAAAAAACGGCGCACTAAAATAATTTTACCGCGCCATTTTAGTAATTTTAACGCGCCGTGGTCGATTCAATCCAGCAGAGGCTCAAAAATATAACGCGCAATGGGCAGCGCGCAGCAGTCCAGCAGATGCACTAAAAAATAAAGCGCCACAAATATATCTACAACAAACAGGTCCCTAAACATTTACAAATAAGTCCATCTGATCAGAACAAAATGCAATTGGGTCCCCAATGGTTGGAGCAAGCTAGCTTGCTGACCTTGCAAATCATCTTTCGCCGGGCACCGCACGCGAGCTAGCTTGCTGTGAATCGCAAATGCGAGCTAGCTAGCTTCCCTTAATCGTTGGAGCAAGCTAGTAGAAGGGCAACGGCGGCTCCCGGCCGGCACGCGCTCCCAGCTAGCGAACTCGAGGCGGCGAGCTGCAGCCGGCGAGTAGAAGGGCAGCGTCGGCTCCGTCCCGTGCTAGGACGAGCAGAGACGAGAACGCATAGGAGTGGCCGCGGCCGGCGGCGGCGCGCTGCAGCTCCTGCAGCGGCGAGCTCGAGGCGGGACGAGCAGAGGAAGCGGAGCAGTTCGTCTTCGCGCTTTAAATTGTCCAGCGCGTTGTATGCCGCGCACCAAATATCCCGCGTGCGATGCAGAAATTCCCAGCGCGCTGGATGGATTTTACAGCGTGCTGGCTTTTGCAGCGTCTGTTGGAGATGCTCCGCGCGTTAAATTGACGTTTTTTCCAGCGCGGGCTACTTTTAACGCCTCTGTTGGAGATGCTCTTAGAATATACTGGAATCTTATAAATGATCTGGTCAAAAAATGCTATTCGTACGCACAGCTTCTACGTGGACCTTAGAGCATCTACAATCGGAGCTCTAGTATTACCCTCAACCGTCCAATTGGCTTATGCGGTCATTGAACTCCATTAGCTGCTTCATCTGGTGATTCAGTAGTGGCGAATGCGACGGCGTCTGGAACTACAACCAGGATGGAGATATTCGGGTGTGTGACTGGATGGAAGGCGAACCGTTAGGTGTACGGGAAGGCGACTACGCGGGTGACAGTGTGCCTGCAACAGTGCGAGAGCCGACCTCGGTGGCGCCGACGGGCTGGTCCGTGGTCCGGCGCAGCGCGGGCGGCCCCCAGGTGAGCGGCAGGGAGGGCCGCGCTGGCTCACCTGCGGCGGGGGGTGGTGCTCGCCGCAACCGCTTTTGGGGGCTGGCGGCGGAGGACTCGGAGGATGAGGCCGGTGACGAGGAGATGGATTCGGAGCAGGGCATGTGCGTGGTGCCAGTAGGGCCGTCGATCGGAGATTTCGTGGCCTTTGCGGCGACGAAGAGTGGAGCAGGTTTGGGGCGAGGGAGGCGCTTCGCGCCGGGTGGCTGCGGCTCCAGAGCCATGGCCTCGCACATCTAGCTGCCGACGAGGTCGAGCAGCTCGGGCTCGGGAGCTGGCGATTCGCCAGGGGCGGCGACGCTTATCAGATCCAAGACGGCGGCGAGCCTGCTCGAGGTTCAGTCGGAATTGTCCAGGGAGGACTGGCCGTGCCTGCCGACGCCCCCTGCGGTGGCGGCGGCGGCGGCGACGAAGGCGTCGTGCGGTCCGGAGGAGATGCGCTCTACTCCATGCCCTAGGGTTGGGCCGGATGGGCCGGCTGTGGGGGTCATTACTGGGCCGGCGTCGGGTGCGGGGCTGGCTATTGGTTCTGGGACTGGGCTGAGGGGCCAGGCTGGTCGCGTCTCTGTTCCACCTGTGGGGTTGGGCCTAGAGATGGCCTTGGACCTGCGGCCCCACGTGCCTCATCGGCCCGACGCGCCTCGGCGCCGGTACTCGCCCGACCATTGGCTATAAGTGGATGAGGAGGGGTTGCCTGGATCCCCATTTAGGGTTTCTAGCCACCACTCGCAAGGTGCGGCGCCTCGCTCACTCCGCCCGTACGCTCAAGTTCTGCCCCCTGCTCCCCCTCCTCCATTCCTTCGCGATGGTGGTGATGGGAGATCTCCCCGCAGACAAGAGACCGGTGGAGATTTCAGATCCGGAGGCGGAGCGGCGCAGGGAGCGGGAGCTGCGCGACAAAGCGAAGCGCGTGATGCGTGAGCGTTCGAGTGGCCGCGAGGTCAGAGAAGAACGTGGTGGATCTCGCGACCATGGCGGGCGTGAGAGGGATTAGGGTCCTCCTCCCCCGTGGTGGATCCAGCAGCAGGAGCGCAAGAAGAAGAAGAAGGTACAACAGTGGCGGCGCGAGCTTGAGAGGAAGCATGAGGCTTACCCCAACTGTGGTGGGGCCACAGGGACCCAATGGCCAAGAAGCCGCGTGCGTCTGCAGATCCACTGGCGGTGGCACTGCCCTCTGCGTCCAAGGGTACGGCGGAGGAGCCCATCCCAGTGGAGGAGGCACCGGACGTCGAGTGCTTCAAGTGCGGGCGCCTTGGACACTACCAGTCCAAGTGCAAGTTCTTGCCTCTCTGTGTGCTCTACAAGGAAGAAGGGCATGCGTCAGCTCATTATCCGACGAGGGGCCGGCAGCTTCATCTTCAAATCATGGGAAGTGCCATCTCTGGGGAGGTTTTCTTTTGCCTTGAGTTTGAGGACGATGACGAGTCCGAAGCCCCCATCGATGCTCGCATCAAGAACGCTGCCATCCTCTCTGCGGAGCCGAGGAATCTTAATCTTCGGATTCTCGAACAAGAGCTGAAGCACATGGTGACGGGAGATTGGGATTGGCAGGTCACACAAGTGGGCGATGACGATTCTGTGGTGGTCTTTCCTTCTGTAGATCTGTTACACATGGCAAAATCGAGCGGTAAGTTGTTTCTGTCTATCAATGACATCACTGCGCGTGTGCGC